ACAATGACAACACACTGCCTGCTGACCAGACTCTGAGGAAAAGTCCGACAGACTTTCTCGAAGCTTTTGTCGATTCTGATAATTCTCCAGAGGTAAGAATACGACAGTAAATTGTTAAATAGTCGGTAGTTCAGAGGCCACATTCAACATGTGACTGTAAATAACATTATATGCTTCATCACATTCATCCACATTGTTAATCTATTGACAGAAAGTGTCAATCCTTATTGTTTAACAGAGTCTGACATTTTTCTTTTACTTTTCGCACTCATTTAGTACAGACAGGATAACAAATATTTCCTTTGTTTGAATTATGAATGAATAGGTTGCTGTATTCGTCTTGCAGCGATCATATCGTTGCTGTCCATTGTCATGCACAAAAAAAAGCGTTTGTTTACTGGATTAATTTCTTGAAATCCTATGGAGCTAGCTATGGTCCTATAACGATATCAGTTTCTAAAGCATTGCTTTTGTTCATCCTACCAGATGGTTTCAAGTTAAGCAAGTTAACAATAACGGCACTGTCAAATTCATAGAAACCCTCCCCATTGCAATCGAACCCAAAATTGTAAATCTACTGTCTCTGTGAAACAAAATTTTTAATTGTTATTGATCCTTTAATGAATCGATTCAGTCCAAATAGCGCACTAGTATCTTAGAAATAATAATTTAAACAAATGTATTAACTTCTCTAGCACCCCCATCCTTTCCCCCCCAACATGCACCTGTCTTTCATGACTTGGCACAGTTTATTATCTTTATATTGTGTAGTGTTCAGTTAACAGCTATTTGTGGAATTTCAGGAAGTCCCTGCAGACCTGACAATAGTGAATCAATAATATATCCATTGCGCTACGACTCGTCTGCAGTTATTAACAGTGTTCCTGCTAGTTCAGTTATATCGTTTTAAACATGAGCAATGCTGCCTTCTCCTGAGTTAAGTTGACATCAGACAAATGCGCCGCTTTTCTCCTCAACCAAATCAGTAAAATTGAGCTCCGTCATATTGATGCAGTTCAGCAACTCCCCTTGATATTAGTGCCTTGTTTCTACTTAACTAAAACTAGACGTTAACTGTAACCAACACAAGTATGTATTTTCTGAGAAGCCGAGTTCTGCCACAGGATCAGTGACGTAATTGGTATTTTATGTATGCCTCTCTTTTAAAAAAAAATGCTCACTGATCAAGGTACTGCATTTGTTTAGAGACCAGTCGTTTTTAACAGCAGACGTTTGTTGTCCCGATTTAGGGAAAGAATCTCTGTCCATGGTGCTGAAAACATGGATAGTTGATTGAGGGAAGACAGTCATAATGCATATCTGTATACGCTCCTTACGTTATCAGTTTATGTTTAAGACACACGTCATGAAAATGTAGTGAAAACCGAAAACAAACAATATTGTTTTTGAAGTTATTCTTTGAATTTACCGTTCATTTCTTTTCTATGGAATCTTCATATGTCTCAATCAATGCAACAAGCATGTTGCATTGATTGAGACATCAATACAGCTTTCACTGTTACATTACTGGAAAAAAAACTGAATGAATGAAATTACTATAAATTCTATCACGGTAGTATACTCTACACCCACACACACACACACCAGATCTAATATGCTAAAGTGTCACATTGTGCTCTGTATGCTGACGGGGGATTTCAATATCTTGCCATCAAGCTTTCACCCCTATGCCTGTCATTATATCATATGCTCTTTCTCAAACGAACACACTGTGTCGCTATCTACCAGTTTACTCGGGACTATTGCAATGCTGTGTAGCACAACGTCTCCACCCATTGTTATTCAGCTTTGTATTTCCAGTTATGTTGCGGCTGTCGAACGATCTTTGGGATCGTGTTGCTGATTTTTGTTTTGAAAATTCTCCGATCTTGTCCACCGACGTATAAGCGAGTTGAACTAGTACCTTGAAATATTTCCTTTCTCCTGCGGATATTTGTCATTTTCAATGATGGAACAAAAAGGATTTTCAAAGCTTGGCCTGGTTACTCGTTTTGTCATCTGTCTACTTGCGTTGCAGTCCGTATTTGCCGAGGTGAGCGTTTCCATCCAAGAAGAGATGAAACCAGGAACTGTCATTGGAAATATAGCCAAAGATCTTGGTCTGGATATATCTACCCTGTCAACTCGCAAGGCCCGCATTGATTCCGAAGGCAATAATGAACGATATTGTGTTATCAGTTTGAAAACCGGGGATCTAAGTGTTGCTGAGCGGCTTGACAGAGAGAGTCTTTGTGGCACTAAACCATCTTGCATTTTAGTCCTGGAACTTGTACTGGAGAATCCGTTAGAATTACATCGTATAAATCTACACGTTCAAGATATAAATGACAACTCTCCGCAATTCAGAAGAGATTTAATTAGAATGGAAATAAGGGAATCCGCTGAGAAGGGCACTCGTTTTTTAATGGAGGAAGCACATGACGCGGATATTGGCCAAAATTCTGTTCAGAGGTACAGTTTACAAATTAATGCTAATTTTATTCTCATGGTCGATGCGAACAACGTTGAACTTGTTCTAGATAACAAACTTGATAGAGAGACACAACATGAGATTGATTTGCTTTTAACAGCTCTTGATGGTGGTTCACCACAGAGATCAGGTACTGTAATGATACACGTCACTGTACTGGATGCTAATGATAACGCCCCAGTGTTCAGTCAGGCCGTTTATGAAGCCAGTCTGCCTGAAAACTCTCCTCTTGACACTGTAGTGGTCACAGTAAGTGCTAGAGATGCAGATGATGGGGTGAATGGTGACGTAACGTATGACCTTGGTTATGTTTCAGTGACGGATGAAAAACTGTTTTCTATTGACAGTAAAACTGGAGAAATACGTGTAATTGGTTCCACGGACTATGAGAAGAAAAAATCATTTGAACTGCGAGTCATGGCAAAAGACGGACTCGGATTAAGTTCTTACGCCAAGGTTTTCATAGACCTATCTGATGAAAATGATAACGCCCCTGTAATATATTTAAAATCTGTAACTAGCCCCATACCCGAGAACGTGTCACCTGGTACAGAGGTGGGCATCATCA